TAGATCAAATGGTGGTTCACTGGTTAGAATATATCAAAAATTTATGTAAATCTACGATTACAATACGATGTCTAGGTAATAAATACTACATAAAACCGAGTTGATTTAAACTAACAACTTTTCTTAAGATGTAAAAATCTAGCAGTTATTATGATTAAAACTATTTCATCTTCGAACACGCACATAAAGTTCGGAATCGCAGACAGTAGGCTAGTTGACCCTTTTTGGAAAAAGGTTTTAAATGGTTAATAAATGTTCTATTAGACCGAAAAAAAAGTATTGTATTTTTTGAGACCTAGAAAGCTACAAATCTTTAATTTTAAAATAGAATTTTCATGGACATACGCTGTCGGCCATTTTAGTTTATAGATTGTCTATGCTATGGATGTCAACTGTAGTAAACAAAAACTCATAAGCACGTAGAAAATAACTTATCTGAGTTTATAATAAAAAGAACATGATTTCTAATAAATACCACGAAAAATAAAGTAATTATCATTATTGTATTGTACGAGAATATAAAAACACATCCTTGAAGACTCCAGGAATGTTGTGGATTAAAGTGCCGAAAGAAATTAACCTACGCAACTTTATTACACTTATTCATATGTTGTATCAGTTTTATGTTTATTACTACATTGTAATACTAAATGCACTGTACTTACATAGATGCCTTGTCGTTTCTCTGCTCCGCAGAGCAGAAATCGGGGTTTAGTGCAAAAAATTTACCAACCATCAATGCGTAAATTCTTGGCAGATTTGTGCTTTCTGCTTGCACAAAGCCGGCATCCATAATTAGTTTTGTCAAAAAAAACAGTAAATGGAATCTTTTCTAAAGTTAAAAGTGTTTTAAGATAAATTTATTCAGACTAAAGAATCCACCAATAACACGCGAATGACATTTAAGTAGTTGTTTACTGAAAGAGACGTCACAATCATGGCGGATGTGGCGAACAGCGTTTTTAGTGTTTAAAAAATATAGACTAAAAAAATATTTTTTAAAATTAAATTTCTTCTTTTATGAAGTGAAATCGATATATTTCGGTAAGAAATAAACATTTATTTAATACAATTCGACATGAGTCAACTAGCCTATTATCGTGAACGAATGGAATGAGTTATGTTTGTGAGTTCTTTTTGTCTACACTTTTTAGATAACGTTTTTTACTTCAAAACAATATTACTTTATGACGACAACATTTTTGATTACATTAAAACAACCTCTTTTGACACTGTTTGCCGACTAATTTGTAGAGTTGATGCAATTGAATGTATGACAACCTAAATTAGTCGTGTAACGCTTTGAAGTATTAGCAATCTATATATATAAAAATGAAACCCGTTTTCCGTTGTCACGACATAACATGAAAACGGCTTGACCGATTTGGCTGATTTTTTTTTAGAATATTCCTTGAAGTACGAGGATGGTTCTTACGAAGAGAAAAATTTAAAAAAATGCCTGAAAATGTCAAAAAACAAAACTTTTCTTTACTCCCATACAAACGATTCGTAATAATACTTAAAAGTCAATTTGAACTTTAATACCATACCATAAATTTCAAATGTTAGTGGAGAGATTCTGGGAAGGCAAAACAATTGAGCGACGTGATGTCAATAGAAGTTTGGAAAAGATAAATATACCATCTTCAGTTTTTTTATAATCTATATATATAAAACTCAAAGGTGACTGACTGACGTAGTAATCTATCAACGGCAACGCCCAGCCCAAACCACTGGACGGATCGGGCTGAAATTTGGCATGCAGGTAGATGTTATGACGTAGGCATCCACTAAGAAAGGATTTTGATCAATTCTACCCCCAAGGGGATAAAATAGTGAATGAAAGTTTGTATGAAACTTTGTCAATTTTAAAACCGAATGGGCTAAGACTTTGCATGAAGGTATAAGAATAATCATAGATGAATGTCATTGTGTATAAAACAAGCCTGAGAACAAAAACTGTAGTCTACGCTTCAGCTCTACACCGAAGCGAAGCGAGGGCGGGCCGCTAGTACAATAATAAACAAAAATTTGGTTTATTTGTAAACTTTTCATACTAAAAAATGTTCCTCACGTTAAGCAGCCTTAATTAAAAATACTCTAGTAGTAATTTTAGGTTTAATTTAAACAAAAATCCGAAAACGAAAATGAAAAGGTAATAATTTCCAACAATTATCTGTCAAATTCAACTTTTAGTTCAAAAGTTTTGTGAATTGGGCCGTATACAGAAAGAAAGCCGAAAGCCGATCGGCGCCGATCGGCGCTTATCGGCGCCGATCCTTCCTACATAAAGGAAGCCGATTAAAGCAGATCAAGCAAAATGTCGGACTCATCGGACGATGATTTGGTTTTGTTAGAAAATGTTTATTTAAAAATGCGAAAAACAGCTATACATCCTATAAATAGAGAAAGGAAACGTTTCAGAGAATACCATCATTTATTTGTAAAAAAAAATAAATTTGATGAACAAAGATTTTATACATATACAAGAATGATTCAAGAAACATTTTATTACATTTTGGATTTAGTGAAAAACCGTTTGATGAAAAATTGGGGCAATTGGCATAAACAACCAATCCTTCCAGAAGAAAGACTTGTTGTCACCATTCGGTAAGTACGAAACAAATAATTTTAGCGCTTAGTTAATAAAAGATAAAGTTATTAGATTTATAAAAAGATTATAACTTAGATTGATTTAATCTAAGGATAATAATTCAAATACAAATTATTTATTATTCGGACCAGCGCGTGTCGGCGCCGGTCCATAGAAAAAGGATCAGCGTCAATAGGCGCCGATAAGCGCCTATCGGCGCTGATCGGCGCCGATCGGCTTTCGGCTTTCTTTCTGTATACGGCCTTAGAGTAGGCTTAGAGAATTTAAATGTCAAACTATTTTCGGACGAACGAATTTTCGAAATGAAATAGAAACAGAGTAAGGAACGTGCGAAATTTCGATCGAAAATTCGTTTTTCGTTGAAATAGAGTAGGCCTCCTGGCTCCTGCAAGCCTAACGAGCCCCCGCAGTGGTTGCCCACTGAGGACCCCGTAACTTTTACAGGCGCTTTACGGCATATTTTTTTTTATTTATTTATAATCAGGCTACATAGCCCCATAGATAAATACCTTAAGTCTAACATATATACAGATATAAAACATTGTTGTTAGTAAATACAATTATTAACTAGTAAACACCTAACTAACACGTATAGACGGCGACGTGTGACGCGAAGTGGTGTCAGGTAACTGACCTCGGAAGCGCCGGAACACTACACCTTTCGGCCAAAGATCCTCCTTCATGAAAGTCGCCAGATGTTCAGTCGGCACCCTCACCACAAATGAATTAAAATTCACATTGTGACGGGACTCCAACCGTACGACTCTCAGGGAGAACTTGGTCTTTATCCGAAGTTACCCACGATCTCCTCTTTCTTCGTAGAGTAATGCAGTCGGGACACGTCGGTCCAGTCGGGGTAAGACCACACAAATTGCGGCGAGCGGGCTTCTTCTTCTTCTTCTTCTTGATGAAGTCCTCTTCGTCGCAAATCTGATAATATCCGCTAAAAACACTGCGAATACCCTCTAAGCTGCTTAGTGCGAAACCGCGAGATCCCCGTTTAGGGATTCTTCCGCGTCTCCGCACCCAGCAGCCTCCCGGCCTAGCCAGGGTTCCACGGCAGGGGGCTGCGGAAAACTACTTGGGTGAGCCCGTGTAGCTCCCTCCGCCCCTGCCGTCACGGGATTCCTCGGTGGCCGGCACGGCACAATGCGCCATACCGGCCAGCTAGGGATCCCCGCGGGCAGGGTCATGGGAAGGGCGCAGCCAGGGCGCATCCAGGGCGCGCACTCGTCCTCTGCGGCCCGGGGGCCAATCGCCTAACGGAAATGCTTTGGGAAACGCTAACGCTTACGATTTTATATTGTTATTTCTAGCCGCCTGAGGTTTTCGAATACCTCACGCTCATCTTTTTTAATATTGTTATTACCAATGCAAAAGAAAAAGAAAGAGCGCGAGTCATTTGAATACCTCAGGCGGCTAGAAATAACATAATAAAATCGTAAGCGTTAGCGTTTTCCAAAGCATTTCCGTTAGGCGATTGGCCCCCCGCTGTTGATTGCTATTTCGTACCTGGACACCTATCTCTTGTTAGTGTACTTTATTAAAAACTGGTGTAACACACTTCCATTTTTTGGAAGATCGCTTGTCGTAATTTACGTGTTCACTGCATCCTAAAACTCGAGGTCCTTTAAAAAGCGAGAAGAAGCAACTTGCAGGTCGGAAGGTGAGGATGGCTGGTGTGGCAGGTAAAACTGCTGCCCTAGCTATCTTAGCGTGTGAACTCCACTTTCACTTAACTTCCGGTGGGGAGGAGCTATTTTGTCGGACTTTAATAGTTTTTTTTTTAATGTGGATAAATATTATGTTTATGGTAAGAACAGATTTAGGGGTTAGAAAATAAAATTGTATGGGCAAACATTGTGCCATATAAAGGTTACCGATGCTTATTTGTGCCCAAAGTCGTAAGCGTGCAAAGGGAAGACAAATTATTGTCAATTAGATTTATGGATACGTAAGTACGTACTTACCTATTTACTTTTATTAAAGAAAATAATGTATACCTAACGTGTGTCATTGATACAGCTTACGCATGCCACGGTTCTAATTTCAGAGAGTTATTTTGAGTAAAATACTGACATGCTACAGGTCAAGTAACCAAAAACTGTCATATTTTTCAACTGTATTTGAGCTTTGTATTACTTGACATAAGATTCACAATCGATTGGCATTTTATGATAACATAACGTGTCGCTGACTGTACCGTAACTACCTACGTTTTGTTCACGTATCACGAAATTAGTCCCAATTTGCGTTGTATTGTGTACTCCAGATAAATATTCCTTGTGCTGTGTCTGCTCGCAGAAGTACTTCGGTATAATTGAGTATTCTTCGTCAATAAGCTACTTCATTATCCGCAATAATTTTGCATTATGTGAGTGAAATGAAAACAAAACTATTCAGGTATGATATTCAAAAAAATCTTTATTCATAAACAACAAAAATATCAGGTTGATATTAAACACTGCCTCCGCAACTCCAATAATCTGAAATAAAGATTCCACGTGTTAAATATAATCTGAATAAGGTAATTACAAAATAACAATTTCCTTATAATTTTTAATTTTTGAAGCATGTAACTGCTCGGTGTTTAAATTTAAAGATTTTTTTTTTAAAACACACCAATTAACCTAGCCCCAAAGTAGGCACTGTAAGGTTTGTGTTATGGGATGCTAAGGTAACGGATAGAATACATATACTGTACATATATAAGTATATTTATATAGAAAATACACATTAAACATCCATGACTGGAGTACAAATGATCGTATTTATCACACAAACATCGCCCCACCGGGATTCGAACCCGGGACCTCTCGAGTCGGCTACACCATGAAACCCGGCGTACAAACCACTCGACCACGGAGGTGGTCAATATTATTAAAAAAAAAACCACGCGGACCAACAATTTTCTTATTCCTATAACCTGCCAAGCACCCTCACTTACAGCAAGACTTCAAGATAACAGAAAAACATTATTTTAATGGAGTAGATATTAAGATTATAAAATTTACCATAAAGATTGTGGAAAACCTTCTGACCTAGAAACACAGGTATTTCCATTAAATAGCACAGATGAATGACTTTTGTATACAATTCATATTATTCCATATTTAAAATAATAAATGCGAAATTGTGTCTGTCTGTCTTTCTATTTGTCTGACCGTTACCTCTTTCTTGCGTGAAACGTGACGACGCTTAACTGTTTTAGATGAAAATTGGTATAGATATAGTTGAGTCCCGAGAAACGGTTTAAGATAAAAAGATTAAGATAAGTTTAAATCTAGAAATCAGCCTTTAAGGGAGCGAAAAGGGGAGCGGAAGATTGTATAGGCATCCAGTTTTCCACGCAGACAAAGTCGTCGGCACCCACTAGTATCATATTATAAGCAGTTCAGGGTCTTTGTCATATAGTATAATTATAATCAAAATCATTTGTAAATCATTATAAAGCAGAAATATAACAAGATTTAGAGAAAATTTTATAACGTAATTCAAGGCACCGTAAGGTGAAATTATTACACCCGGAAATAATCGAAACCTGTCTTTGGAAGCGAAAGTATCTACTTTCCTGTTTCCTTAACAACAAAATAAGAAATAAAATCACTCTTTAACACTACAGTACTGCACACGCCTTAATTTCCTCATGTTATACTCGCGTTAATATTTAGACCATTTCATTTAACCTATTTCACCAAACAGGAAGTAGGATAGCTTATTTTTTTCAACCATCTTATTCAGTTAAGAGCCCCCATGTAGCAAATGAACACAATGACTGACGATGACATATGTAACAAGGACCAAAATAAATCACATTAACTTTGTTCACACGTGTTATAGCTTGGAGCTATTGATCCCGTACGATATATTATACAAAATCAAGATACTCAACGTAATCTGACCACATTAAAAAGTACGCGATCAAAGCCTATTCAAAAGATATCTGATTAAAAATAGAGCATTGTTTTAAAGAAGCATTTATAAATAGGTAGGTATATAAATTTATTTCAGATATATCTTCTATTCCGTGAAATCATCTTTTATTCTTATTAGGTATAAACTACAAATAAGTACTAACACAGTTCTGAAGTGTATCATGTTAACCTAGATCTTAATATCAAATAAGACAGTTAGCGGAGGGTTCAAATCCCGTCTACTTCCTGGACCACGTGGATTTTTTTCTAGTAGATATATTTTTTTCAGATTTTAACTTCTAACAGTTAAAAAATTCAAAAATATAATATTGTTCTACTAAGCCAATTGAAATCAAACTCGTTACGATTCGAAAGTAAAAAAATAGTTTAGACCGGTTAGCGTAACCTTTGTAACATGCGCCAAAGCATGTAATTAAACCTAATTCATCAAAGTCGATTTATTAGTTCAATTTAATCGTTACGATGAAACCAAGTTATGTACCTACTTTATAAGTCAGGAAGTTTGCTATTCACTTTTTAGTGAGATTGGAGACGACTAAGTTCACACAATGCTTAGGAACTTCAGTTTCCTAACGAAGCCTCGGTTCCGAGACTCACGATGCTGCTAAACTTAGATATACCTATACCTGTATTTATACACGTATCTCTCAATAATTCTCTGTAGCCTAAAGATGGGTAAAAGAATTTAAGTTTCCGATAGAAATAAATAAATATTAAATAAATATTTCCAACACTCACACCAATTAGCCTAGCCCCAAAGTAAGCACTGTAGGCTTGTGTTATGAGATAGTAGGGTAACGGATAGAATACATAAACTGATACATATATAAGTATATTTATATAGAAATACATATTAAACATCCATGACTGGAGTACAAATGCTCGTATTCATCACATAAACATCTGCCCCCACCGGGATTCGAACCCGGGACCTCTCGAGATGGCCACACCTTGAAACCCGGCGTATAAACCACTCGGCCACGGAGGTCGTCAATATATATTTTTAGAACGTCTTTTTTTAAAGGGCAATATCCGACCACGCCCGGCGCCCACCGTAGCGTATTATTATATTAAGCTAGCGAGGCAAATTAAGAAAGGAAGGTAACAGCGGATTTCCCGCTCGAATTGAAGCGGCCGTGTGGAAAACCAACCTCCACCTTGTGGAAGACTACAATTATACTGCCTATTCGTAGTGTTTGTTCCTATTAGTTAGTAAGATTCCAAAGCTCACGGGTTAGGTGATTGGGATTAGTCAAATAGGTATGGATGACCGGAGCGGCATATTTTCTTGCCGCATAAGCTCTTCTCGCGACTGGATTCCACTTACACATAACGTCGGGTCGCGTATTAAAAAAACATTCTTAAATTGCTTAATTACCTTAAATGGGTGGGGTGTACTTAAATTAACCTATTTCCCTACTTATATAATAAACTACCACGACTTCGTCCGCGTTAAGTTTGGTTTTTTGAGAACCCCATAGGAACCTAACATTTTTCCGAGGTATAAAGTATTTTATGTCTCAAACCAGATCATAATCTATATGCGTACCAAAGGAAGACGGGCAATTTTGCCTAGGAACCAATAACAACATACGATATATCATTAAAAAGGGGTTTTTATATGTTTTAATTGTTGCTATAGCAGAGTGTCTCAAATCACTGTGTGAAAAGAGTTATGTATGACACTATAAAGCACGACAGAAAACAATATTAAAGCTCTTTAATCATATCAGCCTAAAGTAGCGGAATCATTATGTGCGAAGCATTTACACAATGACCGGTATATAATTGAAGTGAAAATTTGACGAAGATTAAAAAGTAGTTTTGTTATCATATCGAATCGATTCTCCACTGTCTGCTCCTCAGAACGCTACCTGCTATTACAATACAATTTTCACCAATTGATAAAAATATTAATCAATTGTTAAACATATACCTATTATGAAGATAAATTATATATCTGAAATATGATATACAATGATATTGAGACATGTATCGCTATCACTAGTTGCACTAATACTGTAAGATTGGACCGACAGCCAATGTAAAAGCATCAGGTGCTTAATAATATATACGTTTAGAACTTAGTGTGCGAGTTGTACTTTTTTGCTATTTCACTATCTTACGTTTTACAAAATAAACTAAAGTTAATTTAAAGTTAACATAAAAATAAACACATGTTTTTGCGAATGAACTCAGGCTTTACTGCGTCATAACTTTTTCCGCACGGCATCTTGAGACCTCCCGCCATAACAATAGTTAAAGTACATAAAACAATCTTTGCAATGATATGTTGCATGTTGTTGTTGGTTCCTAGGCAGGCTTCCATAAATGTTTGGCAGTTCTCCTTTCATCCACTTTTTTAAAGTAGTTTTACGTGCTTGAGTAACAGTGTCCCGGAAAAATTACAGGTCCCTGTGGAATTCTCAAAAAACCAAGGTAAACGCGGACGAAATAGCAAGCGGCCGTTAGTATGACACAATGCTGTTTTATTCCTTGCTATATTGCATAAACGAGCTAATAATAGCACCTCATCTGATGTTAAGAGTGCGTACGTACAGTTGCGAAGATATGTAGCTGATACATTAATGTATTCCCGGACACATCTATTGGCCCACTTACATCCGGTTTCTGAAACGCATGTCAAATATTGAATTAGTTGACAGACTGTCATAATTAACTATTTGTTGAGCAACTGTGGGTTTCTGAAAAGATATTTACCGAAAAATTAACGAATCTACTGTTAAGGCAGGATTTATTTATTAGTCTGGCCACCCTAGCTAAAACCAGTCACTTTCATTCGATCATTCATGTTTTGTTTCTGTCTAACGCATAGCTTTGTCTCTATCTTTGGACAACTTATAAGTGACTTTTATTTAAAAGACTGAAAATTAAAAGCGATTGTGTGTACCGAAAACATTGAAATTTATTTTCATTTGTAAAGTTTTTACATAATATGTCACGAAAAAACTATACGGAGCGAGAAAAGAGGGAGCTTTTAACAATAGTGGATAAGTAAGTACCTAATAGGTACAAATCAGTTGTTCAAATCAAGCTTTCTAATCTATACAAAGAAACCGATCTGCTTTTGGCATTTAAAATTTGTAAATATATTGATAATATATATTTCAATGTAGGTACAAAGCTATAATAGAAAATAAGTCTACCAATGCAGTGACGGTGTAAAAAAAACGTGACTTGGAAAAAATGGTTGCCTGTAAAGTCGGTTTTACGGGCGAAGATTTTACGTGACAACGTCTTTTTCTCGGTAGAATATTTATTGATATGAATATAATTAAATTGCACAATAGGAACAAGGAATTGAATGAAAATAAGAATTGCACAAATTTTAACTATAGAAATATATATAATACGTCAAAAAAACATATTACAATGCATTGTGCTTGTGAATACCATCGTAGCATGCAACCACGCTACGACGATTCGTAGCAAACTTGCTACACGGCTACGGGGTTCCAGCATGCTACGAGACTCATCGTAACGTTACCGAGCGTTACACTTTTTCATAAGTGACTCCCAGCCGCAACCTA